AGCTGAACATCGAGCGCGTGTCTCTGGAATGTGAGTTTAATAACATGGACCATCGCACGGATCTGAACGGAGTGGACCGCCTCATCGTCAGGAGAGGACAGGCGTTCACCATCAGCCTGTACCTGAAACCAGGGAGCAGCTACGAGTCAGGAACCAGCAGCCTCACCTGTGTGGCAGAGACAGGTGAGAGGTGAGGGGCCAGGTGAGAGGGGAGGGGTCAGTCTCACCTGTGTGACAGAGACAGGTGAGAGGGAGAGGGGAGGGGTCCACCTGTCAGAGACAGGTGAGAGGAGGGGCCAGTCTTACCTGTGTGGCAGAGACAGGTGAGAGGGGAGGGGCCAGTCTTACCTGTGTGGCAGAGACAGGTGAGAGGGGAGGGACCAGTCTCACCTGTGGGGCAGAGACAGTTGAGAGAGGAGGGGCCAGGTGAGACGGGAGGGGTCTGTATCACCTGTGGGGCAGAGAGAGGGGAGGGGCCAGGGGAGAGGGGAGGGGTCTGTATCACCTGTGGGGCAGAGAGAGGTGAGAGGGGAGGGGTCTGTATCACCTGTGGGGCAGAGAGAGGTGAGAGGGGAGGGGCCAGTCTCACCTGTGGGGCAGAGGAGAGAGGGGGCCAGGTGAGACGGGAGGGGTCTGTATCACCTGTGGGGCAGAGAGAGGGGGAGGTGTATCACCTGTGGCAGAGAGAGGTGAGAGGGGAGGGGTCTGTATCACCTGTGGGGCAGAGAGAGGTGAGAGGGGAGGGGCCAGTCTCACCTGCGGGGCAGAGAGAGGTGAGAGGGGAGGTGCCAGTCACAAAATTTAAGTTTTTTCAACTTCTGACTCAAACGCCCTAGATGCGTGTCCAGAGCGTTGACGCCTGAACGCTCAAGACGCGCAGCATCAGTGGCAGATTCTCCTCATGCTGACGCCTGAAGACGTGCCATAAAAAAGCAGAACACCCTAGACGCACGTCCACATAGACTTTGCATGTCCACTGGAGGCCTTGACACTCAGGTCTGAATGCAGCGTTAGTCTTAGTTTGAGTCCTGGCCTACTGCACTTTGCCTCAGCAGTTATAAACCTCACCGCATGTTGCTGGGATTTATTCTTTATCCACAACCTAAACACAAAGTGGACCATGCTCAAGTCCAGGCTGATATCTGTTTTCTACAGAGGGACCTCAGTCTGATTCCTCTGTCGCATCTCGAAGTAAAACCAAACACAACTGTTCACTCAGATTCGTTTTTTTCAGTGATGCATGCTCATTATTTATCATTGTTAATTTTAACAAAATATAATTATAATTTATTTATAATTTTTTAAAATAATTTTTACTTTTGAAGAAGAAGAAGTGTATATTCTGAAGCCCTGGAAAGAACCGTGCTCTTATCAAACAGGAAATGATTGAGGAAAAATAGTGACACGTTTCTGTATCCGTTTCTTGTTACTAAAGTTTTCACTGCCAAAGGAAATGCTTTGTGCCAAAGAGGAACCACATGTTTAAACAGAGATAACAACAAGCCAAAGCTCACACACAACATCACAATATGTACACTTATAGGCAAATATTTCATAACAAAATGTTTAATTAAATGAATAAAATTGCCTAATATCTTCCCACTATTTAAAACAGAGAAGCTGTTGGGGAAGATTTAATCTCATCACAAACGTGATGTTGGTTTCATTAGACTTGATCCAGAAACAAAAATGTTTCATTCTACGAACACCAAAACTAAAAAAGAAAAGATGGACTGAGGTTAGTAATGGTTATAGCCTATTGTAAGTAATGTATTAATACAAGAGCAAACAACAGCAGAAGCAGTTGTAGTAGTAGTAGTAGTAGTAGTAGTAGTAGTGGTGGTACTAGTAGTTGTAGTGGTAGTAGTAGCTGTAGTTGTAGTATCAATATAGAAGTAGTCATGTTAAATTGGTAGTCAGGTGGTCTTGTGTTTTATCTTTCTATTGTTAGTCCTTTGTCTTCCTAAGTTTGACATATAACAAAGTGGGAGGGCATCTGACACACAGGAGTATAGGAGGATGGGAGGGCATCTGACACACTGTGTTGTCTTTCAGGTCCGGAGCCCTCAGAGGAGTATGGGACCCGTGCAGTCTTTGGCCTGTCCCAGAACATCAGCACCTCTGCTTGGAGTGCAGCTGTGACTAGTCCTCCAGGGGACATGGTGGCACTGTCACTGTGTGCGTCTCCTCGGGCTCCTATTGGACGGTACACTGTGAGGCTGGGCTCATCTGTAGACATCCAACTCATCCTGCTCTTCAACCCCTGGTGCTCAGGTGAGTGTGGGGCTGGGCTACAACACAGACATGAGATTATTCTCATTACAGTTCAAATAGTTTCATGATAAGGTTAAAGTTATCCCTCTGGAGACACCCATAGTCTGGATAATAGAAGTGCACTGGAGGAGGGATGTCACCCACAGAGTTCAGCTGCAGCCAAATGAAGCTCAGTGAGGCTAGCAGAAAGCAAGAAAGTAGTGTGTGTGAGTGTCGGTGGTGGTCAGAGGTGCTAATGGCACAGTTTGGCAGCGTGTTTCCGTTAGTCTGCCCCAGGGCAGCTGTGGCTACAATAGTAGCTTACACCACTGGTTGTGGAGTGAATGAACAATGAAATGTAAAGCTCTCTGCGTGTCTTGAAAGGTACTACATAAATACAATGATTACAGTAGCAACCAGGGACCATATTTGGACATATACACAAAACCAAAGAGCCAATCAGGAGTGAGGCTGTTGAAGGTACATGCCCCCTCCCACCTGTACTGCTGGTTTCACAGGGGACGGACGCCTAGCAATGAGGTTGTCAATCAACCTGTTGCTAGCACTGTCAGGAGCGACCTTGATGTAAGCAGCCATTGGACTGGGCTGTTCTTAATGTTCATATCTTATATCTTAGAGACAAAAGAGTGAAATAAAAACACCAGGATCATGTAGAGCTGGTTAATACAAACATCCTAAGACCAATATGATGAGACTTACAGCAGCAGATACAGAGATGTGACAGTTTTTCAATAGAAAGTAAACTGCAAACCAGAGCTCAAAGGAATCACATCAGGGCCATGCTCACTTTCTGTTTATATTTATAGTCTATGATTTGAGCAGTGGACCCATCTTGGTCAGAAGTACCTCAATGCATTTGACCTATTGTGCATGATAAGGCTGATGTTTTGGGGGAAACCAGAGTGCCTGGAGGAAACCCACCCAGACACAGTGAGAACATGCAAACTCCACACAAATTATGCTTTTGGGTGGTATATAGTTGTAATCTATGAAGCTGGTGCACCGTTGTTTATATTTGGAATAATTGGAATTGCAGTATTGATCTAAAACAACTATAGTCACAACTATGGATTTGATGCAGTTCACGCTCGTGAGCAGTAGAAAATATTATTAAAAATAATCATGCAGGTTTACCTTTCTGACTCTACTCTTCCGTTGTGGTGGTCATATCATGTATGAGCTGAGGATGGGCCTCTCCAGTTGGCCACTTTTTAAGCCCCGAGTCCAAACAGGGACACAGCTCATTAGTCAAACTGTCATTTAAAAGATCCAATGAAGTCAGAGAAACAGGATCAGTAGGCAGACCCATCTGTGGTGGAGCCGTTTGGTCTATGAAACCGTTCCTCTGGGGATGGGACCCTGAGCAGAGCAGGGTGTCTGTCCACAAAGTGCGATTGAGCGACGACTGCGCAAAACCCTGTGGGGCGTGACTCTGAGCCAGTCCATTCGTCTGTGATCACCCACGGTCTAAGCGGCCCAACACTCATATCTGTAACAAAGCCTGGACCACGCCAGGGGTAGCCTGGCTCAGGCTCCCCCATGCAATAAATGGTCCAGAACCCAAGGACAGGACACTTGAGTAATTTTTCAGAAAGACATGTGAAATGAGGTGTCCTAATAGGGCATGCGTATGCACCAAATAATAATAATAATAACAATAACAATGAATCGGTTTTATATATCGCTTTTCTGGACACTCAGAGACACCTGAAGACTAATGGAAGCGAGGTTTCCAATCTGAGATATCAGCCCCTCCGACCACCACCATCTCTCACGCACACACCACATTCACACTACAAATTGGCTATTGCTGTGTCATTATTTCATTTAGTTGACTTTAGTACTTTCTTATGTCTCACTATGGTATTTTATTTATTTAATTTGTATTATTATGTAATTGTTACATTGGTTGCTTGTGGGATGCCTTGCCTGAAGCTCAGGGAAGGCTTTAAACTTTAGTTATAGTGACAGGAGTAATAGTAAGTCTAGCATTGATAAAGAAGTAGTAGTAGAAGTAGTGGAATTATTAATAATATTAATTAAAGTATTAGCTGTTGTAGTAGTAGCATTATCTGTTAGTTTTTCCCAGGAGATGCAGTAGTAGTAGTAGTAGTAGTAGTAGTAGTAGTAGTAGCAGTACTCTTTCTTCAGAGGATGAGGTGTAGTAGTTGTAGTAATAATAGCAGTAGTTTTATCTCATTATCTTTGTTCAGGAAAGGCAGTACATGGAGAGAGAGGAGAAACTTACTAGGTACTAGTAGTCGTAGTAGCAGTATTAGAAGTTGTAGTAATGACAGAACTATCTCTTTCTTCAGGAGATGCTGTGTACATGGAGAGAGAGGAGGATCTGGCTGAGTACATTTTGTCTCAGGACGGACTCATTTACAGAGGCAGCTTCAAGTACCCCTACGGCACCCCCTGGAGCTACGGACAGGTACTGCAAATCCTTCAAACTAAAGTACTCCAAATACTAGAAGTACCAATAAATAGGGTTAGGTTAGTGTCAAAAGTATTGAAAATCAGATACTAATTCATACTAAAACTAGTGTTAAAACTAGCACCTGACTGATATGGATTATTTTGGATCTGATATGATACCGATAAAACGTGTTTTAGAGCTGATATAACAGCCGATATATTTAGTGATGTAAAAATTCTTTAAATCTGTAAATCTTCAGCTAATTCTGAAACTTAGGTTTGGGACTATTGGATTTGAAATTGTGTTTATTTAGGCTGTTTGTAGAAGAGCGGCGTATTTTCAAGTGGACTTCAGTGTAGCAAAATTACTAACAACACCACCTGGTGAAAGCAGGACGCAGTATTGTCCCCACTCACTATAGGCACATATACTTTGCACTGAGTTTATTATCCATATTTGCAAGGTGTTAATCATACAATCAAATAAACCATAGCGACATATCGTATAGATTTCACCACCGCACGCCACCCAAATATGCTGAGAACCATAAAAACACAACCCATGTTAACCTCGCGCACGCCGTTACTGAGCCAGCAAGACCATTTCACCACTTACTCCCATGATGCCCACACACTCTCTGCAATTACTGAGCTGGACACCTCGCAACAGTAATCTTAGTGCGCCTAAACGAGGTCCACTTGGGGCCTCACGTCTTGCGGCCATGACAGCTTGGCTTCGCCACCGAGCGACGTCAGCGGTCCGAGATCAGGAGGGAGGGGTGAGCGTAGCGCATAGCCCTCCTTTTATAGGCGGGTTTGTGACAAATAAACTCGATACTATCACACATTTCTGTTCTTCTGTCTCTTTACGTCATATTTAAAGACAGTAGATCAGCCTAATGGCATTTTTCCATCACACTCTAGACAGTAAACAAAGTAAGTAAACTACCACTTTTACCACTTAACAGTTAGTGTAAATATGTGCACACCACAGTCATTAAATTACAGTTGTAAATGCGGATCCTTCCCATGTATGAAGTTTTCCTGAATGTCTTTAGAATGATGTTGAGTTGTATCAGAACAAGTAGAAGACACATAGACTAGTATAGACACATGGACCAACATGGACCTACTGCACCACTGACCATTACACACATATAAAGGGCCCATCTCATGCAAAATAACTCTTTTCACATTGTATCTTCTGCACATAAACAAGCACAGTTTGGGTTTTGTAACATCCATTACACAATACTTCTGAAATCTTACTGATTTCTTGGAGAAAGTCACAGACCAGGAACTATGTAAGACCGACTATTGCTCCTCCCCCTGCCTGTCCTGAGAAAGCACAGGCTCCGCCCTCCAAACATGGCGTAGTTTTAAGTTTAAACACACTGGACTTTCTGCATTGAACCTGGCAACCCTAATAATGAGAGGCTCATTCTGCTTTCTGATGGGTCTGAGGTTCTCAGAGTGATTATCCAAACACCAAAATATGTAATAAACAACTTCTCCATCGTGTCCAATGTTTTTGCAATTTTTAATAAATCAGCATTACAGTTGTTATCAGTGTGCGCTATATTTGATTTAAACATGAACACAGCTAGATCATGTTTGTGGACTCTAAAATCAAACTCTTACAAGTAACTGTTCCTTTAAATGTCTTTTTTCTTCTTGTCCACAGTTTGAGAGTGGGATCCTGGACGTGTGTCTCCAGATCCTAGACATGAATCCCAAATGTCTGAAGAACCCTGGGAAAGACCACTCAGGCCGGAGGAACCCCATCTACGTGTGCAGAGTGCTCAGTGCCATGGTACGACTGATGAACATTTATGTTTTTTTTATTTTATTTTTCTACTAGTTAGTAAAACAAAGCATAAATTTAACACATACAAAACCCTGTAGATACGACAGCAGTGACACACAACACTTTAGTTTTACTGTGTGCAGGGAAAATATGTCACTCATTTTACCAGATCTTTGTAAATTTTTTCCCCCTAACAACATGGTACTGCACACACCTGTACTATTAGAACAACACCCTTCGAATTTGAGATCGGTCGGATGAGCGGTTAGAGAGTTAAGCATGAAGCAGACAAACTAACAGACACACAGACAGGCGTCCCTTGAATTAATAGATAAAACGGTGTTCCCTCATGATAAACATGCCTGAAGAGGTTTTAAATGTTATCCATACATGTTTGAGTAATCTAGTGATCTCTCCTCGGCCCTATTCAAAGCTCTAAGATTCTGTCCAATGCTCCACCCAAAAGCTCTACACTACAACTTCACAAACCTGATGCGATGTTTGTGGGAAACTTATTAAACAAGTTGTAAATTTGTTGTAAAATAGAGTTTTCAGAATAATAAAAGGTGAACACAGTGGTCTAAATATAATATGTGTTAGTGGTGAATACCTCATCAAAGTAAAATCCCCGCCTCTGAAAGCTTGATTTTGCATAATAGAGTGCTGAGAAAAAGTATTTTCCTTCCTGTTTTCTTACTTTGTTGCATGTGTGTCACACTTAACTGTTTCAGATCATCAAACAAATTTAAATGTTAAACAAAGATAACCCAAGTAAACATAAAATCCAGTTTTCTGGATTTTATAACACTCGCCAAACCTACATGATGCTGTGTGAAAAAGTAATTGCCCCCTTGTTAAATGATGAGGAAACTGTGATTGATCATATTATAGGCTCTATTCACGTTACAAATCATGAAAACGTTTGGAAAGATGTGATTACAACTTCCCAGGTCCAGTTTTCTTCATCTCCATGTTAAAGTAGCGTTCCGTTATGTTCGGCTCATCAACAATTCCAACCATACCTCAGTTTTCATCATTTCCCCACTGACACACAAATCCGAGTGCACTGGTACACGTGATTAGAAGAGATGAACAGCCAAATTCCAGATGATTCCAAACAGCACATACGTCTGCAGTCTTCATTTTACCGCTGATCATATTTACTTCAGTTGGTTTGATCACAGTCGGTCAGCGAGTCCAGTGTCGGGAGCTACACCGGAAGTTGCATGTTTCCAAACGTCTTCCTGGTTTGTGACGTAAGTGTGAATAGGGACTATTGTGGAAGACTGAGTTAAATTCCATAGCCACACCCAGGCCTGATGCTGCCAGACCTTTCAAATAAAGAGACTCATTTAAATAGAACCTGTCCGACAAGGAGTAGTAGGCCATATTGAACCCAAGACATCATGCCATGATCCAAAGAAATTCAGGAGCAGAACAAGAACAAAAGTAATTGACATGTCTCAAGCTAGACAAATTTCAGACTTGATCCCAATTGAGATGCTGTTGCATGACCTTAAAAAGGCAGTTCATGCTTGGAAACCCTCCTTTGTGGCCAATTTAAAATAATTCTGCAATGAAGAGTGGGCCAGAATTCCTCCACAGCGATGTGAAAGACTCATTGGCAGTTATCGCAAACGCTTGACTACAGCTGGGGCAATTACTTTTTAATATGGGCCATGTCGGTTCAGATGGATTTTTTCCTTTAATAAATAAAATCGGCACTTAAACCTTATTTTTATGTTTACTTCTGACTTATCTTTGTCTAATATTTAAGGTAGCTTGATCTGAAATGGCTAAGAGTGACAAAGGTGCAAAAAATTAAGAAATCAGTTAGATAAGCATTTTCAAATATAAGATATACTTTACAAATACTTTTTCACAGCCCTGTAGGTCCATTTTAAACATATTTCTGTCCTCGTGTGTATGCAGGTGAACTGTAATGATGACAGGGGTGTGCTATTTGGGAAATGGCAAGGTGGCTTCGATGGAGGAGAGAGTCCCATGTTCTGGAAGAGCAGTGTGGACATCCTGCGGCGCTGGGAGGCCAATGCCTGTGCTCCGGTCAAATACGGACAGTGCTGGGTGTTTGCTGCAGTCGCCTGTTCCGGTCAGATATCACTCTCTCTCATTTAAAGGGGCACTGTGGAACTTTTCGGGTATTGATACTTTGCAGTGACATCATGCTGGGGTGTTCCACATGTATCTCTATGGTGGAATGTTCAGGAATTATCATGGAGACACAATGCACATATTAGCAGTCTCAAGAAACTCTTATGTGTAAGACATACATAAGACAGCACAAATCATCTCAGCTGTTGTAGTTCTTTGTGTGAAAATAAAGCTAGTCTACTCTGTCTGAAGCTGTTACTTGAGTAACAGCTTCAGACAGAGTAGTGCCTATAGTTAGCATCACTCGGGCAACAGTAGCTCAGTTGGTAGAATGAAGGATCCGAAGGTTGGTGGTTTGAATCCTACTCTTGACATAAACATTGTTGGCTGAGCAGTCAGATCAACTGACTTGGCGATGTGAATCCAGCTCCCACAGATGAAGGCTGTTGTTATGTCCTTGGGCAAGACACTTCCCACCTCGCCTCCAGTGTCTGTGTGCACTGGTGTATGAGTGTGTTTGTGAAAGGGTGGGTGGTTCCTTGTTGTACAGTACTTTTTTCACAGCATGAGACAGTGGCAGCAGGGTACCGCCTGAGTTCACCTCAACTGGCTCCTCTTGACGTGGAGCTCCTCCCGTGTGACTGAGCTCCTCACCCTATCTCTAAGGGAGTGCCCAGCCAGAGTACCCAGGCTTCTTGGAGTCCCTGGGAGGAGTACTAGACAGTGCACCGACCGTGGACTCCATTGTTCTACTGGGGGGACTTCAACGTCCACGTGGGCAATGACAATGACACTTGGGGAGGGGTGATTGGGAAGAACAGCCTCCCTGATCTGAACTCGAGCGGTGTTCTGTTACTGGACTTCTGGGCTAGTCACAGTTTGTCCATCTGACCGTGTCATCTGACCTCCGGCCGCGTGTCTTGGACACTCGGGTGAAGAGAGGGGCTGAGCTGTCAACTGATCACCACCTGGTTGTGATTTGGGTTTGCTGGGGGAAGAGGAAGCCGGAAAGACCTGGCAGGCCCAAGCGTGTAGTGAGGGTCTGTTGGGAACATCTGGCAGAACCCTCTGTCAGAGGGACTTTCAACTTGCACCTCTTATGTTAATGATGTTTTAATGAAATTACCCTAACCAGTCATATCCCCTTTAAAGGTGCACTGTGCAACTTTTCTGGTGGAGGGTCCATCAAATGCTTTTCTTCATGGAGATGTTATTGCTCTGTCTGGAATGTTCCACAGTATGTTTGTTGTGTTGTGCCCTCATTTTATTATTTGTATTATTTGGGACCCTGCTAACAATGGCATTAAACCTTTCTATCTTCATGGAGACCAAACTAGATATTTTTGAGCTATAAAACCACCTGCAATTGAATAAATGTAAGGTAGAGCTGTTTAATGTCACACTGTGGAACATTCCAGGCAGAGTAATGACTCCATAGAAGCAAATAAAAAGTCATCTCTACCCCTGTATTTTCTCTTATCTGGGCTTGCAAAACTGAAGTATAACTAATACTAAGAGTTGTTTTAATGTGATCTTGTGTGTGTTTGCACAGTGGCCCGAGCTCTGGGGATCCCCTGCAGAGTCGTGACGAACTACCAGTCAGCTCACGACTCCAACGGCAACTTACTTATCGAACGCTACGTTGATGAGAACGGAGAGAGCAGAGGGAGAGGAGAGATGGTCTGGTACTGTGTTTTCCTCTGCTCATCTGACCCTCTCCTCTTCATCTGACCCTCTCCTCTTCATCTGACCCTATCCTCTTCATCTGACCCTATCCTCTTCATCCTCCTCTTCATCTGATCTGCTCCTCCAGTATGCTCACAAACTAACTGAACTGTGTTGTTTTTAGGAACTACCATTGCTGGGTGGAGAGCTGGATGACCCGCCCTGATCTGAAAAAGCCCGAGTATAATGGCTGGCAGGCCTACGACCCAACGCCTCAGGAGAAGAGTGAAAGTGAGTGTCATTTTAGGGATCGTTAAGGGCTGGTTAAAGTGCATTTGGCAGATTCATATATTTTACTAATAACATTTTGTAGTTTACTAAGTTTCTTAAGTTTAGTTTTAGTTTGGTGGGGTAGTATCTGTGGTCAGTCCTCATGACATTTTTTCTTGAGTGAAGTGTCAGTTTATGAATAAAGACAGAAAACAAACAGGAAGTAGCACTGAGTTCTAAAATCCCTTTACCTATGTCATCAACTGTCATCGATTCCATCCAAAATGCAGAGACAATGCACAAGGAAGAACTTTTACTGACACTGATTTGGCAAAATAAAGGTGTTATCATTTATTTTAACTGGTCGAATCATAAGCATTGTGTAATTTAGGTCTTTTGTCTTTTGGTTGCTAGGCAACATACCTCTATGAATATCACATCTTCTGCTCATGCCAACCAGGAAGTATAACATACACTAAAAGACTGAGCAAGATTTGTAGTTAAATATAATGAGTAGTGGCATAAATGAGTAGACTAATTTGTCATATGCACTTTAGCTCTTGCTTCAAAAAAAAATAAAAAATAAAAATAATAATAATAATAATAATAATGATAATTTTGTTGCACTTTAGTTTAGATATAGACTGAGGCAGTCCTGGTTTAGACCTGGTTCAGTTCTGACAGCCTGGTATAGTTCTTATTAAAGGGTCTGTACCCGTTTTTGTCAATGCAATAAAGTGAAACATTAACAAAATTTCCATTTCAATATTGTAAAACCAGTTCCTTGGGTCAAAATTAGACAAGTGCGGGCTGTCTGCATAAGGGTTCTACAGTTTGCCCATGTCACTCATATATTTCGGCATGTGAACAAGGAAAACAAAACAGGCGCACATGTGTGAGTGCTTCTTGCAGCCCGCAATAAGGAGAGCACTGCACACAAACATAATGTGACAAGTTAAACGCTCACACTAGGACTTTAGAATCGTGCTCAAGCATCATCCCAAAGCATGGTACTTTTGTCCAGTTGAACACAATCAAGGAGGTGGACCAAAGCATGGCACGGAGCTCATGTACGCGCACACCCACAACTTTACTCTACGAGCCCTATGTGTGCTGATGATACTCATACAAGGAAAACTGTGAATAAACTTTTTTCTCTGCTCCTACATTTTTTAACTTAGGGGCACGTGTGCTCCTGAAAATAAAAGTTAGTGTAGATCCCTGGTGGCCTCTGAACGTTATGAAAACTGTTGTGCTGAGGAATGAGGGATGATTTTGGACCACTGCTAACTTCACTAGTTATGTTTTTTTATGTTTTCAAGGATAAAATCAGCTACAGCATCTTTAAACCTGGTACAGTCTGTATTAAGCACTGGTTACAGGATTTAGTGCTTCACACTTAGTCCAGGTTTAGTCCTGTCCTTAGTCCTGCTTCAGTCCTGGTTTCTTGTCTTCCAGATGTGTATTGCTGTGGTCCGGTCCCAGTGCGGGCTATAAAGGAGGGGGATCTCACAATGAGGTACGATGCCCCCTTCGTGTTTGCTGAGGTAAATGCAGACCTGGTCACCTTCATGAAGAAAGCAGACGGCACCCAGAAGAAGCTTATCACCGAGACTCTGGTGGGTCAGAAGATCAGCACCAAGAGAGTGGGGAGAGACGACCGTGAGGACATCACACACCTGTACAAGTATCCTGAAGGTAATATACTACTGCTACTACTCACACACACACACCCCGCTTTCATTGTAGTCTTTCCTGAGGACACAGTGACAGAACTTGGAAATCTGTCCTCCAGCCTTTGGGTGGGGGACCACTGCTCTAACTGCTGAGCTGCTACTACTACTATTACTACCACTACTGCAGACTGCACATCACACAGTATCCAGAAGATAAAGAAGTGCTGCTACAACTATTACTGTAGAAGATGAAGTAATACTATTACTACTACCAGGAGTTTATCACACACCAAACCTGTACAAGTAACCAGAAAACAAAGTACTACTACTACTACTACTACTACTACTACTACTACTACTACTACTACTACTACTACTCTGTCATCATCCATCCACCCATCCATTTTCTTCCTCTTACCCGGGGCCAAACCGGACCCCCTCCGGCCCCTGACTGCGCCTAGAAATTCTGTCCATAAACACAATGAACAGAACCGGTGACAAAGGGCAGCCATGGCGGAGTCCAACACGCACCGGGAACAGGTCTGACTTACTGCCAGCAATGAACACAGCTCCTGCTCTGGTCATACAGGGACCGGACAGCCCATCAATCTGCTCCTGGTCCGGCCCTTCCATCAAATTTTAGAACCCTTTTTGGCCCACGACCCAATAACTTTACTCACCCCTGGGTTAGGGTTAGTTACTAACCAAGCCCAGCACTGACAAGGTGGAATGGCCCGAAATACAAGGAGGACATTGCATTTAATTTTATTAGCAAGTGTATCTGTGTGGCCATACCAGCCTATCAAAGCCTGATCCTGTCAGATCTCAGAAGCTCAGCAGGGCCTGGTCAGGACTTGGATGGGAGAATGCTGGGAAAATCAGGTGCCACAGGGGACACCAGTCGTAAAAAACTGTTGTTGTGTCCTTAGGCAAGACACTTCACCCACATTGCCTAGTATGAAAGTGGTGTGTGTGTGTGTGTGTGTGTGTGTGAGAGTGATGGTGGTGGTTGGAGGGGCCGATGGCGCAGATTGGCAGCCTCGCTTCTATCAGTCTGCCCCAGGGCAGCTGTGCTACAGTACTAGCTTACCACCACTGAGTGTAGAGTAAATGAATAATGATCTGTAAATCGTCTTTGAGTGTGATGCATTTTTATTATTAAAAAGACAGAAGTGTCTTTGAGCTCATATCTAGTTACAGACTTACCAGTATAAACTATAAAGGATAAAGGTTGTAAATACTATGTGAACTGTTTGTGTCCCAGGCTCACAGGAGGAGAGAGAAGTGTTTGAGAGAGCCGAGCATCAGGCTAAGCTCAACAAGCGGCCGGAGGAGGGGTCGGGTCTGCAGCTGTCAATTAAAGTGTCCGTGGACATGAGGAAAGGCTGTGACTTTGATGTTTTTGCGCTGGTGTCGAATGGGACAGACTCGGTTAAGATGTGTCGCCTGGTGTTTGGCTCCTGTGCTGTGTCCTACACCGGAGTCCTGGGAGCAAACTGCGGCTTCAAGGACCTGCTCAACGTGGAGCTGCAACCAGGGGGAGGTAGTGAGCACAAACAAACAAAAACAAACCTGGAGTTGTGTTTTGTTTCATCCACATGTTTGAGTAACCCTTTATTATTAGTCTCCAAAGCTCAAAATGCTCCACCTTGTGATGTCATGTAGTATTTGTTTTCAAGTTTTTACCATGTTATAGTTGTTTCCCCTGTGTTCTTCTCTCAAACAGAAAGCACTCTATTTCACCTTGTTATGTCATATTTAGCCCTGGAGTTGCCAGTGTCTACTGAACTGAAGGTAAAAGGTTGCTGTTAACTAACAAACTTCTTTTTCAGGACATCACAAGGTGGAACAGAGCATTTTGAGCTTTTAAGATGTCGATAGACTAATAATAAAGGATTACTCAAACGTGTGAATGAAAAAGTATACAACTCTAAGTCTGTTTCTGAGGAGGGAACCACATGGATTACAACTCACAAGAGTCAGTTTTGCATATTCTATAGCTACTTAAAGCTGAAGTATTGATATTGGAAGTGAAAACACTGGATTGGTGCAGCTGTAGTCCCAACTTTACCTTGTCTTTCAGACCAAAATAACTGAACACATGTATTTGTTGCAGAGAGGAAGGTCCCACTGAGGCTGAACTACTCTAAGTATGGCTCTGAGCTGACAGAGGACGGCCTGATCCGACTCGCTGCTCTGCTCTACGACTACAGCACAGGGAACATCCTGATGGCCGCCAGGACCATTGTCCTGACCAACCCTGAGATCAAGGTCAAGGTGAGTGTGAGAAGGAGGAGATACAAACAGGAGAGTGAGTGTGGCCATTTCTTTCTATTATTCTGTCCCTGTGAGGTTTTTGCCAAGTCCCGCTAAAATCAATGAAGCCTGACAGACCGGACAACGGACAGGGACTGACTGGACAGCGGACAGGGACTGACTGGACAGCGGACAGGGACAGACCGGACAGCGGACAGGGACAGACGGACAGCGGACAGGGAGTGAGTGGATATATCCACCATATTAAGTTGTAGTAAAGATGACCCGATTACTTGTAGGTGTAGTTCATTTCAGTCTGTGGCATTACTTGTGTTGCCCTACTATGAGGCACGTGTGTCTCACTCACCTCATATTCAAGAACTCTGTTTTATATTGCGATATTATTTGGGTCCATGAGGACTAGACAAGAAGAGATTTTGACTTAATATACTGTAAATAAATGGTATGGCTCTATTCACAATTTTGGCCAAACCATTTCTCATTCATTTAGATTTTATATTTCCCTTAAACAGCTCTTCAAATGTATGCAACTGACCAGAATCCATTTATCGTCCATGCCAATCGAGATAATTTTTTACATGTTCACAATCTTCATCTGACTATTACATATTACATGATCTTGTTCCTTCCATATAGTCACAGTACTTTGACTGGAGTAGAGTTGTTTTTTTTTTTATATAGAAATGCTTTGTGTATCTTTGTGGTTTTCAGATCTTGGGCGAGCCAAAGGAAAACCGTAAACTGGCCGCAGAGATCAGCCTGAAGAACCCTCTGCCTCAGCGTCTGGACAAATGCTGCTTCAGCATCGAAGGGGCCAATCTCACAGGAGGGACCGTCATAACTGAGAGGTGACCGGAAGAGTCCTGGTTTAGACTTGGGTTAGACCTGGGTTAGACCTGGTTCAGATCTGGTTCAGATCTGGTTTATATCTGGTTTAGATCTGGGTTAGACCTATCAAGTCTCACAGGAGGGATTAACATATCTGAGCGGTGAGAGGAAGGAGTCCTGGTTTAGACTTGGTTTAGTCCTGGGTTCTCAATGTGGCTGCGCTATCACTTTGAGACAAACATTCAGCATGTTTATATTTCCTGCTAATGGTTTGTGAGAGCTAGAAACAAATAGTATCTGTCTATTGTATTGGCTATTGCTTTAGCATTTGTGAGAAAAAGCTGAAAAATTGCTGGTTTCAGATCACATCGCAATATTCTATAGGCCAATAATATTTAAAACAGATGGGGGCAGGTAAAATGAATATTGTTCAGCTGCAGATTTTTGTTATAATAGAGCATGATCTTTGGTCTAGTCAATATTAGAAATGATCAGGTTTGATATGCAGGAATTTACCTTTTTGATAGTTCATGGCGAAATACAGTATAATTACTGGGAAAAACTGACTCTTGCCCCCATCACTGAAGCATGACACCATCACATTCTAGAATATGAAAAACACAAAAACGTTGAAAATTACAGGAAGTAGAGAGTTCTTTTTTTAGAGTTTCATATTGATGATGTCACAGTATGGACAAAAGTTCGGCACAATTTCCACAAGAAACCTGATTTTCTGATACTTTAAACATGATTTCAACAAAATAAAGGTGTTTTCTTATTATTCTATTTGTCAAATCATAATTTCTGTGTACACTACTGGAGTTTTGGTCCAGTGTACAACATGGTTGCCAGGCAACACTTATGGAATTCCCTAGAGTGATGTCATGATTTCCAAGCAGGAAGTAAAATATAAAACCTAAAATAATGCCAAACTGGAGGGAAAAATATATATATTTTTTGTATAATCTTAAATATAATGATCTGAACTGTGTTTTGAAGTAACGTCTCTATGCACTTTAACTACTCACTAGGCTTGTCATGATAATCACACTATTGTACAATACATTTTATGCGAGCTGGAGCAATAGATTTTGGAGCTCAGTATTTATCGAGTGTACATTTTCTTTGCCATACTGAGGAGATTTTTTTTTTTTTTTCTGTTATACACATTTTGAGCTATAGACAGTTAAATAAATAACATATTGGTTCATTCTGCATTTTATTTGTTTTAAGAGTACAGTATATTTAAAATGTGTTTACTGGAATGATCCTGCTTTATCTCAGTGGCATTAAGTAGTTTCAGTATTATTGTTTATAGCAATATTTCTCTAGACCATTATATCATGATTCCAAATGTGTTATCACTACTCACCTTAATCCATCAGCAGAATTGACTGTAACTTTGAAATGTTGACCTTTCAGCCTGGGACAGTCGGTGGAGCCGGGAGAAGAGGCTAAAGTGAAGATTTACTTCACACCATCGCGCTCCGGACTCAGGAAGCTCGTGGTGGATTTCGACAGCAGCCAACTGTGTCACGTCAAAGGATACAGGAACGTCATTATTGGGAAATAGAAACATCAGTGAAATAAATGGGAAAGAGTACATGTGTAAGAGACTGTTACTGGCGCTATAATATAGTATGTTTTGTCGTGCCTTAGAGATGGGGAAGTAGACTTGGGCAGGTGCCACAGTTGTTGTATTAAAGGTCCTATATCGCAGAGTATTGACTCTTGTGAACTTTAAACCAAGTTTGAATGTTACTGCATCAAAAACAGACCTGGTGTTTTGTTTGATTCACATATGCTTAAAGGTTGTATGGAGGATTTTTTTTGTTTGTTTTTGTTTCAAGTTGTCAATGATAGCATTATAGAGGTGCAGTAGCCTTTGTAATTATGATGACCAAAAAAAAGAGAATAAAAATTCATCAACTCTGGACGTGGTGGGCCAGCTAACATTTGCCAATAGATAACGACACTGCCTCGTAATCTGTTAGCTGACAGGCTGTCAATCAATCTCCCTAAGTTTCTAGCGTAACTGACTTGCCTGCGCGCCGCCGGTACGTGGTTTACGTACGCCTGTCACGCAGACGCAAGCCGCACAGACGCTGTTTACTCCACCAACGCAACAGTTCTTAGCGGCTTTTTTTGACCTATATCTTCCTCGCAGTTAGCACAAAGTTTGTTGCAATGGCGACAAGAATCCAGGAGCAGTTAGCCGCAAAAGAAAGTCCGTTTTTGAGGTCGCTGAAAGAAGAAGACAAGGGGAAAAGCAGCGAAGCCAAACTAAGGTGATTCTTGTAGATTCATTCCAGCGATGGCGCGACTGAAGCAGACGCATTGGTCGCCAAATTACTCCTGGACAGGTCACTTCTGCTTATTATGAAAACGTACTTTATTTCCAAGAGCTAGTCAAACGTTTTTCAGGACACGAAAGCGATATCCTATGTCTGAAAACATAATTTTCAAGGCAAAGAAAGAGTCCGCTTGCTGCTGCGTGTTGTAGCTAGTTCATTCGCACAGAATCTCCGCGCAACCTTCTCTGCATCCCTTTCCTCTCCCCGCTGCCCGATCCGCTCTTTCCCCTGCTCCTCACTTCTACGGGCACGGAATCTCCGCGCACCGCTCCCTCTCCTCTCTCCTCTCTCCTCTCCCTGCTCCGCTCTTCTCCCTGCTCCTCACTTCTCGTCCGTGAACGAAATGTCCGCGCACCCGCTCCCCCCGCTCCTCACTTCTCCACCTTGCCTAACCAACACTGTAGTTAGTTGTTTACAAGTCATGTGCAGCACCGGCTGTAAACAAACCTGTTTCTGGCGTAAAGAGGAGGCGGGAGAAGGCGTTTCTACGTAGGGAGCTGTAGGGGAGGGGGGGTGGTTTCACGCATGCGCAACATTTGAAAAAGGACAAACAGTCGCTGGATTTCTCGTTCCTTGGAAAATCCTCTATACAACCTTTAAGTAAGCCTTTATTATTATTCTGTCTATTTCTCTTAAGCTCAAACTGTTCTGTTCCACCTTGTGATGTCATGAAGTGGTAGTTTTCAAGTTAACGGTTCCTTTTATCAGTAAAGATTGGCAATTTCAGGGTTGAGAAGATCCAGATGAGTTTAGTGAAAATGTATGGAGTTTAAAAATACAATGGAGCACTTCCTGTATTACCACATGACATCACAAGGTGGAACAGTTTTCTGTTGGAGAGAAGAACTGACTAAATTCTGAACTGTCTAATTCTGTCGGGTTTGTGTGTTAAACATGTGCATGAAACAAAACACAACTCCAGGTTGGTGATGAGGGAACAACATTGTAACATAGATCAGAATATCTAATACCCTTAGAGGATTATTGCTTCAAACTCATGTTGATGTAGTTTTGTTTGAACTGTAACAGTTACACAGTTGCAGAATCCCTCTACCTTTGTCATTTAAAGGTCACATATGGTGCTTGAGCCTGTTGTATGGTTATAATCCACGACCCCCATGGATCATTATGTTATAATGTACACATTTTGAATTGCAATATTAATCTACAACAACTTAATAAAAGAAATAATCCATAGACTACCACGTTAGAAAACTGCTGTGCCCAGTGGGGACAAAATGTAAAAGTAGAAAAATTAAACAACTAAATATTTTCAGTCAAATCTTAAATTGAATTATGTTAATTTAAATTAGTAGTCTAACCTGTCAATTTTCTTAAACAGTGATACACAGTGTAAGAGAATTTAAGTCATTTATCCTCCACGTGCATGACTCACAGGAGCTGTATGTACATCATCATCTTCTCTTAGCAGAACATTTGTACACTATTATCTATATTGTCTATGGCATATTTCTGTCTAACCAGTGCATACTGGCCTTCAGAGTCTCACCACACTTGCTTTATAAAACTCCTCTTTAGAAGCTTAGTCAAGGGGCTTGAACACTCAAAGCTCATACTATGTTAACTTTTCAAGTCCCCCGGGCCATATTACTGATGCTAAATAAACTTCTCCAGCTTAAGACGTCCAGTTGGTCTCCAGCCTTTTACTTCCACCCTTTTTAGGACAAGCTGAAAAGTTCTACAACACACAGGATTCGGCAGATTGGCATACTCACATTTGTATATATGAAAAGAAATCCTGTGCTCTAAGTGTGATGTGCAGCTCTCCACAGGAGGGGCCAACAGGAGGGCCCCACAGCGTGCGGCGCTTTGTTGTCATGACATTTACGGCCACATCAGCTCCCATTGGACACCACAGTTTTCTAACACACTTGTTTCTTTTATTAAGTCATTTTAGATGAATGTTGCTTTTTGAAATATCCACAGGTGTGATCATAACCATATTCAGATTCAAGCACAATATGTCTTTAAAACTTTTTTAAACAGTGTACCAGTCTGTGTGGGTCCTGAAGCAGCTGTTGAAAACCGCTGACTGGCCGATTCTTTGGTGCTATTTTTTCTTTTGCTAAAACAATGTGACATTTATACATTTTATCTGCAGTGTGTGAGATAAATGCCTTTTTGCACTATAAGCGTTGCAATATTTCATTTAACCATTAAAGAACATATAGTCAATTTCCTGGTGTGTGTGTGGCTGCTTAAGTGATTGTTTAGGATCATGGAGGCTGATTGTAAAATGGGGTTGTCAAAAGTATTAAAAAATCAGATACTAAACTAGTATCAACACTAGGTACTAATTCCAGCAGGTATCGATACTAAAAAAAAAAGTCCCATTGTCGGCAGAAATTAACCTCTCCTGAATGTCTTCAGAATGATGTTGAGTTGTATCAGAACAAGTGTAAGAGCACATAGACTAGTATACACACATGGACCAACATGAACCTACTGCACCACTGACCATTACACATATATAACACACATGGTATTGAAAGAGAGTTTGAAATGAGAATTGTGACAACACTACTGCACTTGAAGTAGCCTGAAGTGTTTTCATCATGAGTGTGAGAAGAGGTGCAAATCAACAAATCAAACAGAAAAGGGCTCGGCTGTTGTACAACACACACATGATCAATGTATGGTCATATTGTGGGAGGAACCTCACTTCACATTCGGTGTGTGGTGGTTATTGTGGGAGGAGCCTCACTTGTTTGGTCAGTGCAGTGTGCTGGGAGGACGGAGCACCAGAAGAGGCTGAGCTCAGGTTCTGTACTGCCTCGTTCAAGAGGAGCTGTTTGTAGTTAATGCACTTTTAGGTGTTCATTTAATATTTTATATGTTTGTTAAAGATAAACCTACAAAAATATACATTTTAATCTTAAAAGGATTTACTTCCAAAAAGTCTCTTTGACCCGCTTTAGCAGCTCATTGTTTTAAAATAAGCGTATGTGTGAATTGTGTCAAAATGGTATCTGCTTAACATTCTGCCATAAAGATACATGTAGAGCACCCCCCTCATGATGTCACTGCCATATCAATAGTCTTTATAGTGAAAATGAGAGCAGAGAAGACAATTGTACACTGGGAGAGGTTGGAGGCTGGAAGATCTGTAGAAGATCTAAAGCTCCTGTGTAAGGGCAGGACTCCGGGACTGGCTCCTCTTCCTCATGGTCCTCGTCATACTCCTATTTGAGTGATATTTAGTTTGAAGTAACTGTACTTTTGTGGTCTAACTTTTGAAAATACCAGATTTTGTTCTTTATTTATTGTTTTGTCCTTGAAATTACATTAACTGCTCCTGTTTTTTGGCACAGGAGCTGTTCCTTCCAAGCGCTCTGCCTCATATAATGAGCTGCACCCCTGTGCTTTCTTCTTTCTTCTCTATGGGGCAAAGAATCCAGGATGTGTGCGGGATCAGATTGTATTGATTTCAATGTGTAGTATTTGGGCAGTGTGAAAAATCAAATGTCCAAAACTAAAATTTTATTAACTTTTCTAACCATGAACCATCATCATCACCATCACCAACTTAGTAAACTTAATGAACTGGACAAAACAGGAACCAGACCAGAATCAGGTCAGACCTGAGACTCAACTCTGCACAATCTACACTTTGTATATTTGATAGGGGTGTCAAATTATCGCGTTAATTGCGATTAATTAATTACAGTCATATTTAGCACATTATGTTTTTTAATCGCGTTAATCTCATTTTTAATCTCTAACTTTAGTGTTTCTGTATGTGAGTTGCTTTATTATAAAACCTGTTTTTATGTGTTGTTGGGACAACAACACACACACACAAAAAACACATTTATAATTTTGTTTTATTTCGGTAATTCCACTCATCCCCGGAAACCCACACAAAACGCGCGCAGTAAGAGCGATGTGAACGTCATGTTCACGTTCGCAGCGTCAGTCGCACAATGGACGAGGTCGAAGAGCCAGTAGAACAGAACCAGCAGTGCACAGGTAAAAACACATTCGTGTCTTGGAAATTATTCTCCCGACGTGAAATATAAAAGAAAATAACAAATATAAAATCGCCTACAACTTAAATGTCACTGGTGAAAACAACCTGCATAGACTCACTGATGTCTGAACAACCTGCATAGGACCACAAACACACAACACACACAAACACAAACACAAACACACACAAACACACACACACAACACACACAACACACACACACACACACACACAAACACAACACACACAAACACATACAAACACACACAAACACACACAAACACACACAAACACACACAAAACAAACACACACAAACACACAACACACACCTTCATCATCGTCATTAACCTGAGAACGCGCGGACCACGTTTCCTTCCATAGACACTGCGTGGACACCGCTGTCCTCCCGTGAGCCGCGTGTGGATCGTGTTTTCTCGCGTACCCTGCGTAAACCGCGCTTCCTCCTGTGCGCCTCTAAACCAGAACTAACCCCAAGACTAAAACTAGGACTAACCCAGTCCAGGACTAAACCAGGTCTAAACCAGGACTAAACAGGACTAAACCAGAACTAAAACCAGAACTAAAACCAGGTCTAAACCAGGTTTAAACCAGGACTAAACCAGGGCTAAACCGGAACTAACACCAGGACTAAAACCAGGACAAGCCCATTCCAGGACTAAACTAGAACTAAAGTTGGACTTAAGCAGGTCTAAACCAGGACTAAAACAAGGACTAAAACCAGTGATCTCATATATAAAACATTTCTCTATCAATAATATTTTTAATATGGTTAAGGTTAAGGTTAAACTGGACTTTTTATTGTCTTTAAGTAGACAAAAGTTATTATGTTCAGATTTCCTCGTCTTTGCTACTTTACAGCAAACAGTTTCTTATTCATGGAGACTTGGGCTCAACAGCCAATTTGGAGAGATTTGTTAAACAATAAATGACTTTATAAAGTCACTTTTTTTGTTCTTTTGATCTGCCACAATAATGTAATAATGAATTTAAATGAAAATACCTAAAATTGAAGGCTTTTCTCAGCAATTTTTAGGTGAGATTAAAATGAGATTAATTAGATTAATTAATTACAGATCATAATTAATTAATCTCTCAATTTTTTTTAATCGCATGACAGCACTAGTTATTATTACCAAGAATTATAAGTACGGGACATTTTTTGTTTTCCCAGGTAAAAGAAGACTCCAGGGACTAGACTAGAGGATGAACTGAAGCTTTGGAGCAGAAACAGGCAGAAGAGGATATTCCCTCTACAGCTCCCCCACAGCTCAGACCATAATTATATATATATATATATATATATATATATATATATATATATATATATATATATATATATATATATATATATATATATATATATATATATTAGTGCTGCACAGTCTACACCGTGGGTAGATCTGGGCCTCTATTGCTCGAGTGCCCAGGGCCTGCTCCTGAGCAGCCAGGATGAGCCTCTGTGTGTCCTTCAGACCAGCCCTCTCAAACCATTGGTAGAATTTCTTGATATCAGCCACTTCAGTTATGTTCCGGTAGTTCGCCCCATGTAGGGGCTTGTGATGGTCCCTCCAGCACCTGTTCCTCTGGACCCCACTGTCTGAGACATTCTCTGAGCACGTCATCTGTCGGGGCCTTGTCCAGGATGTTCTCATGGAGCTTGGATGTTTCATCCTGGACAGTGGTTCCCACACTCACTACTCCTCGGCCTCCTTCCTTCTGGCTCACGCACAGTCTCAGTGTGTTGGATTTGGGATGGAACCCTCCATGCATGGTGAGGAGCTTTTGTGTCTTAACATCTGTGGTCTGTATCTCTTTGGCCAGTGCATGATTCCTGCTGGGACCTGATCACTGGCAGGGCAGAGCTGAGCCTGGCCTGGCCACGGGCTCCGAGCTCTGATGTCATGATGGACAGAAATTTGTCCTAGTGAAGGCCCAGGGTCCAGGTCCAGGGTTCACCACTGCCAAGTACAAAGGTGACTGCAGAACTGCACACCAGAAACTAAAGATTTATCCTGTACTGACATGTGTCAGTGCAGCAGCCAGTGGCAGAATGATGATGATTCCCAAGCCATGTTGTTGAATAGACTGTATAAAAGAAGTGGACTAAGTGAGTGTGACCCACAGATTTCAGCGTCACTCAAATGAGCCTTGTGATGCTCATGGTTACAGGAGTGAATCTGGAGCCAGGCTCTGTGTTATGAATAGGAGAAAATAGTGAAAAAAAAAAAAATTCTGGATCATGTGTCGCGGGTTAATACGAACATTTAAACACCAAAATGACGAGGTTCACAGCAGCAGTCACAGAGAGAGGAGCTACAAGATCCTAATGTAAATCCATTGGAGCCAGAGTCAGAACGAGCCAGAAGAGCCTCCTGGAGAACTTCCTGTTTGGCCTATTTTGTGGCTACAGCATTAGATCTGTCTCATATATACGGTCTATGGTTGTATGAAAGTGATGATGATAATGATCATATATAGAAAATGTCTAATAAAAAAGGTTGAGTAATCATATTGTGTCTAAGTGTGTTTGTTGACATTCAACATCCAAATTTGATGTTAGCTACTTTTAAACTCTTTGAGTTATCTGACCAACTGCATGTGATGTTTATAGTTTGCTTTACCCATATTGTTGATGTATTTCAACAGGATAATTAAAAAAACAAAACAAAAACAAACAAACAAAAAAAAAGGGTTATCTAAGGGTTAATGTGGGTAGGTCTTATAGCTTTGTAACAGCACCATTTGATTCCCTGACCCTGAAAATGTGGGTTTAGCAGTTAAAATCAACATTTGAACTTATTCAGAGGCTGAGATATTTCAGAAAGAGTTTTTTGGCAGCCTTTTTTTTTTTTTTATTCAATATGGCTACCATATAGACATCTAATCGAATGGAAACAATGATTTTCTGACTCATTACACAATAACCTTTCCAAAAATATATAGTTTAGCAAATCCCCCCAAAAATCCCACAAACGTATATAGTGAACCAGATTAGTGACTGAATGGTTGGGAAAAGACCGACACACTTGACACGTGGCTTTGGTGTGATTTTCGTGATATAGATTGGCTGAAACATTGTCTTGCTGATCAGTAGCCTGTGTCCTCTGACTTCTGTGTTGGAGCAGTGATGTTGTGTATAGTGCAGCTCACATGAAGTGTAGAGCTCAAGAGCACATGTTCACA